TCCATGGGTTTGGAAGGTCCCCTGGAGAAGGGAATGGCAACCCACTCTAGTATTCGTGCCTGGAAATTCCACGGACAGAGGAGCCTAGTGGGCTACAGTCCATGGGGTCACAAAGAGTCGACACAACTGAGTGACTAACACTTTAATACCCACCAGTGGTGGTCTTGGTTCAGCTGAACACTCAAACTCATGACTGCAGTAGGCCAGGTTTGACCTCAATTAGAAGACATGAAACACAGCATGCCAATAGGCAACATTCTTCAATAGGAGGAATCCTCATGGCATGCCGTGAAATAGTCAAAGGGCTCATCTTTGCTAGGGGCCAGCCAGCCCCTCTTCCCATAAGTGACGTCAAAATGTGCAGACAGCCACCCTGGGTTAGAAATCCTATGTTCTAAACAGGAGCCAATATTTCTTGTAATGACTCTATATGAATAGCTTCCATGAAAGCAACATGTTCAGTTTTAAGAATTGCCACACTTGGGGAAACCCAAAGCTATAGCTTCCTACCAGTCCTTCCTATAAGTCCTTCCTATGACTTATTCACAGTCCCGTCAGTACAGACAGTTTATCCATGAAGGGTCATTGTTTACATCTGTGTGCCTGAAACACAGTCCTAGTTCTACTAATAATCCAGGGAACAGAGATAGCGAGTTAACCCAGAGTTGAATAGTCCACAGAGGATGGATTTTATTAACCCTCACTTACATAGACATACAGATAAGATCACACAGACAATATGAATAAGATTACGCAGAGAATATGGATAGACAAGCAGAGGATTGCGTAACTCTCAAATATTCCAGGATATCCAAGCAAAGAAAGAGGAGTGAAGAAAGAGCCTGAGGAGAAATCAGAGAAGTTGTGAAACATCCAGGAACATAGGATAATATGAAAACCAAGGGAAAGATAGTGGTCAAGAAGTGTCTCTTTTTGCAGTTAGGTCAATTAGTTAATAATCACTAGCAAAAGCAGTACATTGGAGAGAAGAAGACAGATGGCTGTAGATTAAAGAACAAATGGAAGCTGAGACAGTGAACACAGTGTAATTTTAGAATACTCACTGGAAATTTTTGTCTCAAAAAGGAAGATAACAAACAATTAGAGGGGGTTTAGGGTCCAGGGGAATTTAGAGGAATAAAAAATTCCAAGTCATTTAGTTTAGAAGTAATGTGCACTTTTATATACAGGCTTTCTGCTCTATTAGGTTTATTTTTCTGTGTATTATTATCCTGATAACATCAACTATTTTCAATCAAAAAAAACTCTTTTGCACTATGAATAAAGGCATAGACATTTCTGTTCAACAGTGTACACTTTCCTAAAGTCTTAGAAGAAGTAACACATCAGACAACTTTGATTTTACTGTAGCAAACAAACATATAGTTATTGTTATACCAAATCTGTGCTAGGACCATTGTACCAATTTTCTTTTACAAGAAATTATTTCCATTCTAAACTAGAATACATAGTTTTCAGTTATTGTTGTAATATACTATTATTACTATGACTTCACAATGTCTATATCTCTATATACACACACATAAACTTTATGTATTTGGAATACAACAAATGTATACAATTTATGGAGAGAACACCCTTGTTTACTTATTATAAAGTTAAGCTCTTCTCCACAGATAACTGACAGTATTAAAATAATTTATGTGAAAATGCTTTATAAACTATAAAAATGCTGTACTACAAATGTGAAAGCTTGGAATATTAAAGATCAGGTGTTAAGTTAGTAGAAATATTTATATGTACTATGATTAAAAATATAATTAGGCTACAAATACTTATATGCAGTCATCACATTAAAAATACATTTTCTGTACAATATAAACCTAAAATGTGTTAAATAATAAAGTGATACCAAGAAACAGGGGTCTTCCAAAGAAGGAGAGATATATCTGTACTCACAAATGATTGTTCTAGTGTAGAAAATATTAGTGGTAAAGAAAAAGATGCTGTAATGTGATAATCTAAAGGAGAGAAGAATTGTATTAAAAATGGAAGGCATTCAGTGCTTAAGCCTCAAGAAAAATGAGGCTTATGTCCATATGAAAATAAAAACTACTTCAGGAAATAATATAAGAAATGACTAATAAAAATAAAAGCCTTCCATCACAACCAAATCCTTATCACAGATTATGTACTTGACCCTTTTAGTAGACGTACACACAGAGTAAAAGAAGCTATATTTTCCCCATATTTTTATACTTTAAAATAATGTTGTTAGATATCTATCTCCAATATCCATGTATTTGTGGTGAGACAGTTGATCTTGAACCATAGACTACTTACCCTGAGAAATCTGACCAAAGATGAGCAGTAATCTGTTTGACCTCTATTTGCCCTTTGTATCATCACTTTCAACCAGATTTTCTAGCCCATATTCATTATCTGTATGGCTATCAGACTTCTGAGAGGTGAAAATACTGTTAAAGGGCAAGGAATGAGAAAAGGGGAACCTGAATAAGTAACACATGTACATTTCTCAACTCATGAGAGGACACTGGTTGACCAGAAGGATGTAATGCATGGACCGTCAGAACAAAGCATAGTATGAATTGAAAATATAGGGGCAGCCCAACAAAGCGAAAAACCATCTTAATAAGGCTGTCTCTCTACTTTCTGTTCAAATGCTTTTCCACCTGTGCAGATCCATTCCTGCCTGTCCAGCTACCTCCACACCTGATCCCCACTTACCTAATAAGCTATCTCCTTTCAGAGCCCCATTGCTATCACACCATTCCCAAATTCTTCCTAGCTATCCAACTGTTTCTCCCACCTGCCAGCCTATCCATCCATCTGTCCCCTCTGCTCTTCCAAAGAACTTCTTACCAGCCCCGTTACCATCCTACCCGATCAAGAATCTCCCTCACCCACCAGCCTCAGTTACTTCCAGCTTTCCTGGCAGTTTCCCTCATCTACCAACCCCAATTCCTTCTGGCCCACCTGACCATTTACCCCACCCACCCCGAGGTTCACCAGTCATTCCTGATTCTGACTCACAGAGCAGGTTGTTTTACAAAACTTTCAGACCCGAGCATTCCCTTCCAGCACAGCATTCAACCCCAACTACCCTAATGCCTGCCCTTGTCCGTCGTTCCCTTCCAGCTCGACTGACTGTTCCTCCAACCCCTTCGGAAGGTTTTCCTGTTTTGAAGCCTTCCTGTTTAGCCAGTCATCCCCCTCATCAACCAGTCCCTGCTCTTTCTGCTGTCACTCCATTGCCTGAACATGCCAAGTTAGATCCTTTTCCATCAGTCCAGCAATCTGTCCCACAAACCATAGCATTGTCAAATCTTTCCCAGGCCTTTGTAGGGCATCCACCTGTGTCAGTTCTGTCCAATCCACCTCCCTGTAATTCTCCATCCTCCTCTTTGTCTTCACCTTCTAATTCCGTATCCTCTTCTTCATCCTCTCTACAGCTTTCTTCCTCTTCATCTGTTCTTTCCTCCTCTCCTTCACCTTCCCCTACTACCTCTCCATTCTTACCTCTTTTATCTATCCCTCTTTTTTCCTCTCCTTTGTATTCATCTCCCTCTCCATATTTGCCTTCAGCAAATTTAGATTTCCCCTCTCCTATCCCTTCTGTTTCTTCTTCTTTTATGATTTCTTCTTCCTTTCCCCCCGTGCTTCACTCTTCCTGTCTTTCTGCCTCCCCATCTTCTTTTATTCCTATACATTCCTTCAATCCTCCTCACTGGGGGAAGAAAGTAGAGAAGAGAAGAGAAGCAAGTGGAGTAGAGAAGAAAGAAATAGAGAAGAAAAAGTTGAGAGACGACAACTTAAAAGGTAAATAAATTTAGTTTATTAGATATGTTTGTAGATTTAGCAATATTTCATTTGGGAAGGGTGACTGAAAGGGAAGGAGTATGTAAGAGTAGGAAACCTAAAAGGATTAGAGAAACATAATCTCAGTGTTCAGGAACTTAGATACCTTTTTGCTCTCCTCAATCTCTCTGTGGTTGCAAAAGGATAGTCAGGAATCTAGTAATCATTGACTTTGACTATTCCAGTCTGTCCAAATAAAGATATATATGGGTATTGGAGATAGATATATGTCACATGTGACCACAAGTCACTTTTCAAAGTATTTTAATCCTCATTGAATTGAGGATAATTCAAGTGAATTGGGGGTAAATACCCTTGGGATTCATACTACCAGCCCTTATGCAATAGCAGTCAGCTTTTGATATAATTTCATCTCTCACCCACCCCCCAAAAAATCTTCCTTTGTTTTTTTTTTTATTTTCACTTTGTTCATATACTGAGGTGTAACATGCTGTAAGTTTCCAGAAGATGCAAAATTCTGAAAGAGGATGATATCATCCACTGATAATTTGGAGGTGGCACTTTAACACACTAAAAACAGGCTCTGCATTAAAGGTGCCCCCTCAGTGCCGTGAAAACCATGCTTATATTTGTGGTACAACTGAGAAAAATGTTAGTATCTTCCAAACCAAGTAAAGTTAGATGGAATCCAAGCTTCCAAATGTATTAAAGTTAGATGGAAATTCCAGTCTACCCTGAGAAGAAATTTTCATATTTTCTAACTGCTTGAATCTTCAACCAACTCTATTAGAGTTATAGGGATACCACCATCTATGATATCAACTCAGAACTAAGGGTAGTGCAGCATATTATTATCCAGATAGGGATGCTCTTAAAGAACTGAGGACTGACTCTGTACGTCTATAGTAATTACTTCAATATCTACCCCGAACAGTAGAGGAATAGGATTTAATAAACAAAGCCATGAAAAATTGGGCATTCCTACATGAAGATGGAATGCTTTATTGACACTATAATCCCACATCCATTTTTATTCTACTATTGATTGATTTAAATTCCCATTCTAATATATCTATATATTTCTCCAATATCCTTATATGTGATTATCTGGACACACACAAACACATATTACATGAATATGTCATTTGTATGTTAACTTTATTTAAGTATACTAAACATTTTTTATGTGTGGTTCACAGAGCTATAGATAATGACTTGCCTTCATCATTGTCAAAAAATGATCATAAGCATCAGAAATATCTCATATCCAAAATCAGTTGTGGTCAAGAAATGGAAAACAGCAAGGCAAACTTGACTACTAACAAAGATGCATTCCAGCTTAAACTGGAGGAAACGCAGAAACTCCTAGAAGATCAGCATCTAAGCAGTTTGCAAGTATGAAACTCTAAATACATTATTAATATTTTAATATCTAGCAATAATTCTGTCCCATTTTTGCATTGTTCTCCACTAAAGAAATATATCACACTAGCCAAGGGTATGTTTGGAAGAATCAGCACAGATTAATCACAGATACTAATGAGAAAAGATTGTAGCATTTTTAGCTTTTTGCTCCAGTTTCCTCTCTGCAGCTATTCTTCTTTTCCCATGTCCCATACATAAAAAAATATGCTTTATGAATGTTATTTTTTAAAAAATATGAAAGTTATTTGCAAGTATAATGTATCTTAAGTATCATTATAGATTTGATTATAAAAAGCAAATTGAAAATTATAATACATGTGGATATTAAGTTCTTGATAAACGTATGGCATAATTAGCTAGAAATGGTGTTTCTCTTCTCTCTAGTCTGGTTTTTACTTTGGTTTTTCCTACAAATGAGTATGGATTTCATACTAAACTTGCTGAAATGTTCATGCACTTTATTTTTTATGAGTAATTGCACACATTTATAAGATTCTTAGTATGCTGGTATCAAGATTAAATTTGTAACCTTGGCCTAGTTTATCCAATAACTGAGCAATTGTGGAAAGGCTAGAAAAGCAAAGCAGGAGACTCGTCTGGCTATGAAGAAGTGCCATCCTGCCACACACAACTATAATTCTGAATAAAATATATGAAACAGTTATTTTTAAACTGTACAGAACAGGTAGTATAAGAGATGTCTTGAAAAGGGGGAAACAAATGAGGTAAGCCCTATGATCACATAGGCTTTTTACCTGGACATATCCTCCTGACAGGCCTCAGAAAAAAATCCATAGGTATTTTAAATACCTGTCAAAAAAAGAAACACTCTTTTAAAGAAGACTGAAATCTAGACATACAGCATAATATTCATAATGTCCAACACTCAGAACTCACTAGATATGAAAAAGCAGAAAGCTATATGACCCATAACCAGGAGGAAAAATAGTAAATATAATTATAAATGACAGAGACAATAGAATTATCAGGCAAGAGTTTAAAGTAACTTTTACAAATATTTTCAAAGAATTAAAGAAAAGTGAACATAATGAGAATGAAATTTTTGGAGGAACCAAATAGAATATCTAGATCTGAAAAACATATTGCCTGAAATTAAAATTATACTAGTTGAACTTATCAATGAAGGCACTATAGTCAAAAGGATCAGTGGACAGAAATCATCCAGTCTGAAGCATTGGGAGAAAAAAGTCGGAAAAAATATATTTAACAAAATGTTAGTGACATGAGGGACAATATCTAAATCTAACATACATTTAATTAATCTCACAAAGAGGAGAGGGAAGATTTAAAGAAACAATGGCTGGGAATGTTTCAAGTTTGATGAAACTGCAAATCCACAAATTAAAGAAGCTCAACAAACTTCAAGATAAGTAAGTATACACTCATATGTATGTGCACACAGCCCATCACAAAAAAACCTCATCAAAATTAAATTAAGCTAAAAGGAGTAAAAGATGTATTACATGCAAGTCAACAAAGGTAAGATGAACCACACTAATTTCAGGCCAGAAGACAGTGAAACATTATCTTCAAAGTTCTGACAAGGAAAAAAAACTACCAACCTATAATCTATATTTAACTAAAATGTCCTTCTAAAATGAAAGCCAAATAGGCATTTTCAAATGAACAACAGCTGAACACCGCTGTACTACACCAGTATCTGCAATAAGAGACCCTCTGGGAAGTCTTTCAGGCAGAATGAAAATGATAACAAATGAAAACTCAGATCTATATAGTAACAAAAAACAGATTAGTAGTTGTCAGTGGTGGGTAGGTATTTACTACAAAGAAGCATGAGGGAACTTTCAACACATAGAAATTTCTTAAATATTTCAGTATGATGGTTATGGGTAAATAATTTGTCAAAACCCATCAAACTATACATTAAAATATGATAATTTAGGGACTCCCTGGTGGTCCAGTGTAGAGACTTCACCTTCCTATTAAGGGAGTGTAGGTTCAATCCCTAATGAGGAAGCTAAGATACCACGTGCCTCGTGGCCAAAAAACTAAAATATAAAACAATATTGTAGAATTTAATAAAGAGTCTTTTTTTAAATAGTCCACATCAAAAAAAATGACACACAAATATGTAAATATATTAGGTAACACTATTATTTATTTCTCTTAACATAATTTAAGTTGTAGCTATGTCATTGGAAATATTTTTGAAATAATCTATTCTCACATTGCTTGTGTTCTGTTTTTTAAAGTTTCTATACATCATGTGTGTATTTTTGGTTTGAAATAAGATACTATCGTAATTTTTCTTGGCATTTTGTACATAAATTTTTGAAGAAATGGTAACTTCTCAACAATGTGAATAGATACATTTTATATTTAAAAATAAAAAATTATTTGATTATTACTAGTTTCACTTCATTCAGTTCAGGTCAGTCACTCAGTCACGTCCAACTCTTTGCGACCCCATGGACTGCTGCACACCAGGCCTCCTTGTCCATCACCAACTCCCAGAGTTTACCCACACTCATGTCCATTGAGTCAGTGATACCATCCAACCATCTCATCTTCTGTCGTCCCCTTCTCCTCCTGCCTTCAATCTTTCCCAGCGTCAGGGTCTTTTCAAATGAGTCAGCTCTTCATATCAGGCGGCCAATGTATTGGAGTTTCAGCTTCAACATCAGTCCTTTCAATGAACACCCAGGACTGATCTCCTTTAGGATGGACTGGTTGGGTCTCCGTGCAGTAGAAGGGACTCTTAAGAGTCTTCTCCAACACCATGGTTCAAAAGCATCAATTTTTCGGTGCTCAGCTTTCTTCACAGTCCAACTCTCACATCCATACATGACCACTGGAAAAACCATAGCCTTGACTAGAGGGACCTTTGTTGACAAAGTAATGTCTCTGCTTTTTAATACGCTGTCTAGGTTGGTCATAACTTTCCTTCCAAGGAGTAAGCGTCTTTTAATTTAACAGCTGCAGTCACCATCTGCAGTGATTTTGGAGCCCCAAAAAATAAAGTCAGCTGCTGTCTCCACTGTTTCCCCATCTATTTGCCGTAAAGTGATGGGACTGGATGCCATATTAGTTTTCTTAATATTGAGCTTTAAGCCAACTTTTATGTTATGAAGTTTTACTCCATAAACATACAATAACAACCAAAAAATGAGTGCATTTTACTTTTAATAAGTATATCTCAATAAAGTTGATTTAAAAACTAAAAGACAAAGCATGTTAAGTCTAGTACAATTTATATCAGTAACTTACAAGCAAAACTTGAAGCTGATCACAATGTTTCATTTTTTAGTGATAAGAAAAATTCTAAGAAAAAACGTTTAATTTAGTGAAAGTTTCTGAGTAAAAAACAGAGGTTGCTGAACTTCTTTTTAGGTGCTTTGGGAAATAAAGCAACCACAGACCTAGGCAAAGAGAAATATTAAAGCCACAGACATCATACTTATGTCTAAAAGGACCTTCTAATCCAGATTTCTATATCTCATTAGATGCAATCTTGAAGAAATTCTTGTTAGAATCATAGAGCTTTTAGGAGCCTCATTATCAATTAAATAACTCTGTTCCAAAAACAGATTGGAGGAGCTGTGCTTTCCTTTGTACGAGTTAGGTTGAAGGAAGTGACAGGCTGGGAGCAAAGACTAGTAATATCAAACTCTTATGAACCATTTGCAAAACATTTACAATAGTGTATCAATAAGTACTAACTATACAAACTAAAATATTTTTAATCTGTAACTGATTTCATTGCTTTCTCAGTTTATTTTCAGGGCTAAAAAAATACTAAATTTTTGTTTAATATCAGAATATTTTAATTTTCTAAAATTTGTAAAATTTTAAGGGAACTAATTTTCTTTGAGTTCATTTAACTTTTTCACTAAATTAACAAGTTAAAGTCTTCTTGAATTTATTTCTACATATGTTATACAGATTAATGCTTTTTAAATATCTGTGTTATATGTGTGAAATTAGAAATAGTTTTAAACATTGACTATGCCATCACTGCGGATGGTGACTGCAGCCACAAATTTAAAAGATGCTTCTCCTTGGAAGCCAGGCTTCAACAATACATGAACCAAGAACTTCCATATGTTCAAGCTGGATTTAGAAAAGACAGAGAAACCAGGGATCAAATTGCCATCAACCATTAGATCATAGAAAAAGCAAGAGAATTCCAGAAAAACATCTACTTCTGCTTCATTGACTATACTAAAGCCTTTGACTGTGTAGATCACAACAAACTGAAAAATTCTTAAAGAGATGGGAATACCAGACCACCTTACCTTCCTCCTGAGAAACCTGTTTGCAGGTCAAGAAGTAACAGTTAGAACCAGACATGGAACAAGGACTGGTTCCAAATTGGGAAAGGAGTATGTCAAGGCTGTATATTGTCACCATGCTTATTTAACTTCTGTGCAGAGTACATCACTGGAAATGCTGGGCTGGAGGAAGCTGAAATCAAGATTGCTGGGAGAAATATCAATAAAATCAGTTATGAGGATGACACCACCCTTATGGCAGAAAGCAAAGAGGAACTAAAGAGCCTCTTGATGAAGGTGAAAGAGGAGAGTGGAAAAGCTGGCTTAAAATGCAACATTGAAAAAAACATAGATTATGGCATCCAGTCCCATCACTTCATGGCAAAGAGATGGGGAAACAATGGAAACAGTGACAGACTTTATTTTCCTGGGCTCCAAAATCACTTCAGATGGTGACTGCAGCCACAAAATTCAAAGATCTTTTCTCTTTGGAAGGAAACTATGACAAACCTAGGTAGCATATTAAAAAGCAGAGACATTATTTTGGCAACTAAGGTTCATCTGGTCAAAGCTATGGTTTTGCCATTAGCCACATATGCTTTTGAGAGTTGAACCATAAAGAAGGCTAAACAATGAAGAATTGATGCTTTTAGACTGTGGTGCTGAAGAAGACTCTTGAGAGTTCCTTGGACTGCAAGGAGATCAAACCAGGAAATCCTAAAGGAAATCAATTGTGAATGTTCATTACAAGGACTGATACTAAAACTAAAGCTCCAATACTTTGGCCTCCTGACGCAAAGAGCCCATTCATTAGAAAAGACCCTGATGCTAAGAAAGATTAAAGGTAGGAAGAGAAGGGGACAACAGAGGACAAGATGGTTGAATGGCATCACTGACTCAGTGGACATGAGTTTGAACAAGCTCCAGGAGATGGCGAAGGACCGAGAAGCCTGGTGTGCTGCAGTCCATGGAGTTGCAAAGAGTTGGAACAACTGAGCGATTGAACAACAACAACCACCTTGGAATAGCTATGACAAAGCTACACAGTGTATTAAAAAGCAAAGACATCACTTTGCTGACAAAGGTCCATATAATCAAACCTATGGTTTTTCCAGTAGTCATGTATGATGTGAGATTTGGGTTACAAGAAGGCTGAGCCCCAAAGAAATGATGCTTTCAAACTGTGGTGCTGGAGAAGATTCTTGAGAGTCCCTTGGACTGCAAGCAGATCAAACCAGCCAGTCCTTAAGGAAATCAACCCTGTATGTTCTTTGGAAGGACTGGTGCTGAAGCTGAAGCTCCAATACTTTGGGTACCTGATGCAAAGAATTGACTCATTAGAAAAGAACCTGATGCTGGGAAAGATTAAAGGCAGAAGGAGAGGGGACAACAGAGAATGAGATCGTTGGATGGCATCACTGACTCAATGGACCTGAGTTTGAGCAAACTCTGGGAGTTGGTGATGGACAGGGAGGCCTGGTGTGCTGCAGTTCATGGGGTGGCAAAGAGTTGGACATGACTTAGTGACTGAGCAACAATAACAATACTTTGAAGTGATCATGAAATTTTATTAAAAACTGATAATTTCCATTAGATACAATTGAAGTAATGATGAGACTCTTACTGTAAAGAATTCATGGAAATTATTACTGTGCTAAATGTCCAAAAATGATCCATTAAAGTCAGTAGTTCTCAGTCGTAAATCCACATTAGAATTACCTGGGGAATTTAAAAATAATAATACCACCATCAGTGCATGCATTCCATCTAAGTATTAAATAAGCAGGATCCAGGCATGTTTTCATAAACATCTTATATTTTTATAGACCATGAGATTAACTTTTATAAGAAGGTATAGCCTTGCCAATAGGAAAGTCATATTAGAGTCATAGGGCTTTTAAGAGCCTCATTCAAATCCAGTCTGAGTCTCAGGGGAAAAAAATACCCTTTGTAAATAACTATTTTTCAGAATTTCACATGCTGTTATGAAACCTTCAGGAAACTCTATTCTCTGAATGGAAGAGCAATAGCAAAAATTGTTTTCTAAGCTATAACTAATGGCTAGGATAATTGAGTAGTTACTTTAAGGTGAAGAAACTAAGGCAAATACATTTTATTATCTTTGTTGGCTCCCTCTTTTTCACTGTGAGGACTGCTCCAGGGATATAGATTATTTATATACCTATACTGTCTGTAGTCATAGTATGTGCCAAGTAACAGTGGTATATTGAATCATTAATGTTGACACTTAAAATTTCTAAAACAATGTACTTTTTTTTTTCTTTCAGAAATTTCGTGATGAAGTTAATCAGATAATAAATTCTGAAACCCTCTCAAGTATAGACAGTCTTGAGGCTGGGGAACGTGAAGAAATGTATTTAACACTTAATAAGGAGCCTTCCACATCAGTCCAGCAGCAGAATTCTATTTCCCTCAAATCAGCAAATCTGCAATCAACTAATCTAAGCTGCTTTGATGAAGATAAACTGTCATTCTCTAAAACTCAACACATAAATAATTGGCTTGTAAATATAGATGATCCAAATATTTTCTCAGATATTTTTAGTAAACCTAATGTTCTCCCTGACTCAAGTAAATGTTTTAATAGTAAAGAACAAAATCCATCTACTCTGAGTAGAACTGTGGAAAGAGACATAAATACTGCTAATAATTCAGTAGCCATTCTATATAGTCCATCCATATTTGTACAAAATAAAAAAAGCAAAAACACATCTGAAACTAGTGTTATAAGGACAACTGACTCTTCTGGAGCATTCAAAAGAGAAAGACCGTTAGTTTCCGAGAGTCCAAAATTTAAATTCAGCAAAGCCTGGGCCACTCCAGATTCTCTAACCCAGGAAATCACAATAATTTCAGACCAAGAGAAATATTCTGAAATGACACAAGAAAATAGAACTACTTCAGTTCCTACTTCATTTGTACCTTTGGCAACACCTTTAGTTTTGCCATTGAATACACAATCAGCTAGGCCTTTACCAAAGAGCAGTATACACATAAAAGAAATTGACCCAGTGCAGTGTTCTGATAAGTTAGGGGAAATGAAAGACGTTAAAGATGAAAAGACAAAATATTTTAATTGTAATGAGGAAGAGTTGTCTTTATTTTCAGATAATTTTCAAGCCACCTATATACTTCACAACTCTGATTCAGAAGATGAAAAACAGAAAATATCTGAAGCATCAAAATCATTGTCTAATATAATTTCTAATTGTGACTTAGTCAGTCAGCACAAGAAAATGAAATACAATATTTGTGAGAAGAATAGTGTGAGATTTCTTAAAAGTATTTTAAAGAAAGAATCTAAATACGAGCGTGATTATTTTAAGGCACTGGTTACAAACCAAGGCTTTAAGTTAGGAAATCAAAAAGCAGCAGTTATCAGAGATAGTATTGAATTAACAAAAGAAAAAGGAAAAAGTGCAGAAACTCCAAAAACTATTAAAAAACTGAGATGGTTTGATGAAACTGGCAATACAAGGAAAAATGTTGAAGATAGTCATTTGCTGAAGGGTAGAAAAAGAGTATCCCAACAGTGGTCTCAACCATTCCACATTCGCTCTAAAAGTGGTGCTGCCAGCAACATGCCTAGTATTCCTGCTTCTGCTGTGGATTCTGCTAATAAGAAAGAGCCCGAGGATGATTTTATCTCTGAAAACCTCACTGCTTTAGGAGGATCTGGAATAGACCATGTGCCTTTGAACTGCTGTATACCTTCAGATTATAGCACTGCTAAACAAGCCTGGCCAGACTCCACAGAGGAGGAAACTATATCCCCTGCAAAGAGTGGTGGTTCCAAAACTCAGAAAACTAACCCACAAAGGAGTGAAGCCAAAGTCGTTAGAAGAGCAAGGTCTGCTAAAGTCCAGTCAGGCTTTGTATGTGTGAACAGAAAAGGCCCTGTTATTCGACCACAGTCTGCGAGCAAAGCCAGCACATTTTTACAAGCTCAGGGTAAATTAATTGTACCTCATCCTCCTCCTCCATCTCAATTAAATATTAGAAGTTGTAAAAATATACAAGTATCTCAGTGTCAGTCTGTAATGCCTGAAAATTCTCAAAACATCAGTACATGTAACTACTTTAATTCAAAACATATGCTTCCAACAGAACACAAGTTGAATCAGTGGAATCAAGAAAGTAGTCTTCCACTCCCTCATGTTTGTTCTGACTTAGACACTGTGATGCCAGCTCTACCATATTGTTCTTCTGAGTGCCAAACATTAACGAAAATAAATCATTCAAATGGCAGTCAAGCTGTTGCCCTACAAGATGGGACGTTATATTGCCCCCAAAGATGTCCAACATATGAAGAAAGTCATCCCTCTGTGACTCTTAAAACTACTAGAGAAGAACTGGTTCCCATGTGGAAAAGACAGCATAATATTCTGGGTCAAAATGAAAAGGCTGCTGGTAAGAATAAATTTATATATTTTTATAGGTAAAATGTGAACTTTTTCTTATTGTGGTTTGATAATGTACCTTACAAGATATTAAAATTGAACAATAACAGCCTTATAGAAATAACATCACCCATAATATTGTACCCTTGTCTGTCTAGTAGCTTACACTTTTAAGCAAATGATCCAACCTTTGCTTAACTAAAATTAGAAATTTTGCTAACTTCTATTTTTCCCATGACTTGTTAGTTTAAAAGAGGGAAGGCAAGAAATGTGGTTTGATTCTTATCCCATATAATTCTGTTATTACTGCAATGTTATAGTCAAAATTTCTGTCAGAGTAAGCACAGTGAAAAATATTTGTTTAAATTATTCTAAATAGGTGAATAAATGTGATTATAGTACTTTTCTTTATTCTTCTTTAAAATATTTGTTAAATTTAATGTTATTAGCTAACAATAGATGTGCCTAACCCTCTCATTATCTTTCCAAAAGAGCGGCAGCTCTGTTTTAATTGGCTATGTATGGAAGGTTTCATATGGAAGAAAAAAATACAGAATTCCTTTAAACATTTTTGAAAATTAATTCTCTATGTTATGCCATTGCCCTCAGTAGGCCTGGTTGACTCCTCATGAAGCTACTTTCCTCTAAAAGAATGGACTATAGGCCCATACATTTTTCTACTAGTAGGAATCAGATGACTAGTCACAAATACATAAGATTTGAGAAAAAAATCAGAAAAGCAACTCTCTTTTCCCAAAGGTATGAATAAATATTAAGATATAAAGTGAGAGTTAGATTTAATATTTACATCTTTCTTCAATTAGACCATGGGATTTTAAGAACAAGGGAATTTTTTTTACTTCTTTACCTGATCCCCAGATTTTAACAGTGTCTGGCACTTAATAAACACCCAAACTTTTCTTAAACTGAATGGACACAGGCCATGATAGCAGATGGGAAGCTAAATGCAGAGACTCTAGTTTTAAACTAGATTTTTAAATATTACTTCTCTCACAAAAGGTTTTGCTTTCTTTTTATCCAGCCATTTCACAGTGTAACTTTAGTTTTCATACTGCTTCCAGAAAATAAAAGCGTCATGTAGATTTGATATTTTAAAGGAAATTATGATAAATAAATTATGATGGTTAACTGTTTTGAATTTCTACTCTTTGCCAATTATAGTAATAAGTGGTTTATACATATTATCTCATTTAAACCTCACAGAATCCTAGCAAATATGTATTTTTTTTTTTGTGTGTGTGTGTGTGTAATAAAGTTTTATTAAAGTATAAAGGAGATAGAGAAAGCTTCTGACATAGGCATCAGAAGGGGGCAAAAGAGTACCCCCCTCCTAGTCTTTAGCTGTCTATTATATAGTCACTCACAGTCTGTTAATGAAAAGGATGTCATAAAATTTAGAATGACACCAGATAATTCATCTCTGGCCATAAAACGATTGACTTGAATCTTGTAGCGATATGCAAATATGTATTTTTTTAAAACCTCCTTTTACAGAGAAGGAAATAGAATTGCCAAAAGTCAAGAGGTATTATCAATAAATAGCAAAAATAGTATTTTCATCCAAATTATCTATGACTCCAAGTCCCATGCTTTTTCTACTAAAGCTATGTAATAAATATAATCATTAAACACATGTGAATCCATGGCTGATTCATGTCAATGTATGGGAAAATACCACTACAATATTTTAAAGTAATTAGCCTCCAACTAATAAAAATAAATGAAAAAATAAATAAATAAATATAATCATTAAGAAAACATATGTCTGAGATGATCGGGAAAAGCATTAGGAAATATAGTTTCCCAGTAGCATATATATAAAGATATAACATATGAAAATTATATTCTCATTCTCTGATAAAAGAAAAAATATATATTGCATATATAATCTGAGAATTTTTCTAACATATAATCAAAGTAGGGGTCTTTGTATAAGAAATACTGGAAAATTTTAATACTTTTAGCCATGTTTTTAAAGAGATAGAAATATTGAAATTGTTGCATATATCCATACTTTTTTGTTCATTGTTTTGTTTTTATTGAAGTATAGTTGATTTACAATATCATATTAGTTTCCAGTATATATCATAGTGATTTAATGTTTTTATAGATTATACTTCATTTAAAGTTATTAAAAGCTAATGGCTATATTTTCCTGTACTATATAATATATCCTTGTTGCTTATCTATATTTTAAATAGTAGTTTGTATCTCTTAATTCCATACCCCTATCTTGCCTGTTCCCCCTTCCCACTTCTCACTGGTAACCACTGACTTGTTTTCTACACTGTGAGTCCATTTCTGTTTTGTTATATACTTTCATATGTCTTATTTTTTAGATTCTGCAAGAAAGTGATAACAATAGTGTTTTTCTTCTCTGTCTGCCTCATTCACTAAGCATAATACCCTCTAAGTTTGTCCATGTTATTGCAAATGGCAGAATCTCGTTCTTTTTTATGGCTGAGTAATATTCCTCTGTGTGTGTGTGTGTGTGTGTACCACATCTTCTTTATCCATTTATCTGTTGATGCGCACTTGCATTGCTTCCATATCCTGGCTATTGCACATAATGCTGCTGTGAACATTGAGGGGCACATAGCTTTTTAAATTAGTGTTTTCATTTTCATCATATATATGTCAAGGAGTGGAATTGTTGGGTCATACAGTAGTCTTATTTTTAGTTCATTGAGGAAGCTTCATGTCCTTTTCCATAGTGACTGCACCAATTTACATTCCTACAGTGTAGGAGAGTTCCTTTTCTCCACACCCTCTCCAGAATTTATTATCTGTAGACTTTTTAATGATAACACTTTTGACTTGTATGATACCTCACTGTGGTTTTGATTTGCATTTCTCTAAAAATTAGTGATATTGAGCATTTCTTTGTGTGCCTGTTAGCCATCTGTATGTCTTCTTTGGAGAAATGTCTGTTTAGGTCTTCTGCATGTTTTTTTTTAATAGGGTTATTTATTTTTTTTTGCTATTGAGTTACCTGAGCTGTTTACATATTTTATATATTAACCCCTTATCACAAAGAGTCAGACATGACTGTGCAGCTGAACAACAGTTCGTCACATAATTTACAAGTATTTTCTCCTGTTCATGACACTGTCTTTTTGTTTTGTTGATGGCCTCCTTTGCTGTACAAAAGCTTTTAAGTTTAACTGGATTTTCTTTATTTTTTCTCTTATTTCCTTTGCTTTAGGAGACAAATCTAAAAAACTACATTGCTTTGATTTCTGTCAAAGAGTGTTACACTTATATTTTCTTCTAGAAGCTTTATGATTTCCAGTCATATTTAGGTCTGCAGTCCATTTTGAGTTTATTTTTGTACCCTGTGTTAGAGAATATTCTGATTTCATTCTTTTACACTTAGCAGTCCAGTTGTCCCAGCACCACTTATTAAAGGAGACTGTCTTTTCTCCATTGAAAAAGAGAAAAGGTTGTCATAGGTTAATTGACCATAGTGGGTGGATTTATTTCTGGGCTCTCTGTTCTGTTCAGTTGATCTATGTGTCTGTTTCTGTGCCAGTACCATGCTGTTTTGTTGTTTATTTCTATACTTCTTATTATTGTAATTATACTTAGAAAATCTAATACTAACAAAACTTTGTATGTTCAGTCATTCAAACATTTTTTTTAAACTTTTAGTATTAAACTTTTCAAGTGAACCCTTTGTTAATACTGAATTATAGTTCTCAGTGCTAAGTCACTTCGTATCTGACTCTGCGACCCCGTGGGCTGTAGCCTGCCAGGATCCTCTATCCACAGGGATTCTCCAGGCAAAAATACTGGAGTGGGTTGTCATTTCCTATTCCAGGGGATATTCCCAACCCAGGGATTGAAGCCGCATCTCTTATGTCTCCTGTTTTGGCAGGCTGGTTGTTTACCACTAGTGCCACCTGGAAAGCCCATGAATTATAGTTCAGTGAGCATCTATTCATTTTTTTCTACTCTACTATTTGCTAGGGCATTTTTATTCTCATAGTCAGTATACCCAGTGTTGACAGTTATGCATGGTGTCTTGCTCTCTGTTAGCATATCCAAAACTCTCCAGCAAAACTTTCAGTAAAAACTCTACTCCATGAGACCCAAGCCATTCAACTGTACCAGCTCTTGACCTTTCAAGTCATTTTCCCCTGAAGATGACTTTGGTATCTAGTTCACAGTCTTCCTTTATTGGAAAAGTCTTTGCGGATATACTGGTGACTCGGCATTCATGTGAGTGAACGATCCAACACCCTGATCTCTCTCAATCTTTCTCACTTCTAGTGATTTTCTGTACTATTCTGCTTCAGGTACCCATTCCCTTTGTCATACTTTGGACTGGGTCAACATCAATAACTTCCTTACTTCTAAAATTAGTAATTTAATTTATATTCCTCTTTCTGATTGCAATATGCTTTTTGCACCAGATGTTTTACATCAATGAAATAAAATAGAGTCTAAAAGCAGACTCATATTTGAATGCTTGATTTTTGGCAAAGATGGTACTGCTAGCAGGAAGAAAGTACTTGTCTTTTTATTAAATGGTACTGAGTCAATTGAATGATTTTATGGAACTAGTAAAATGACTCTTAGCTCATACCATACACAAAAATCAATTCCAAATGAACTGTATATATGAATATGGAAAGTGAAAAAGAAATGCTTCTAGAAGATAATACAGGGAATGTGCTTATGACTTTGGGATGAGCAGAGATTTTTTACATAGATATAAAAAGCACTAACCATTAAGGATAAGACTGAAACTTTTTCATCCAAAACACCATTAAAATACTGAAAAGGCAAACTATAGAGTGAAAGAAGATATTTGTAATGCATAATACCAACAAAGAGTTCATATCCAAAATATATAAAGAACTCCTACAATCAATAAGAAAAAGACAACCTAGTTATATGAATCATGTTTGAACCAGCTAAGCAGAACCAGTAAGATACATTGTTTATTGCAACAGATTGGCTTATGTAAATATAGGGGACAGGGAA